AGGATGAACATAGCTGACGTGGAGGACAAAATGATCATGTCCTCTGTACCTTGGCAGGTGCTGCTAATGGCAGCAGCAGAGAAGCTCATGGGGAAACCGAGCGTCTGACTTTGGGTTGGGTCGATTTCCCGAGGAGGGAACATATGCTGTTAGCACTTGAACTGTCATTTTCTTCACTTCAAAAACAGCCTAGAAAGCACATCGTGGTAGCTGTGAAAATTTCAGTTACTTTGACTTTATAATGTAAAAATAGATGTTTTTATGGCACATAGTAGCTCACCATATGTTGCTTTCTCACAATAAACATTTTTGTCTTCTATACAGTTGAACTAATATCTTAACTTTATAGTATATGGAGATGCAATATCTTAATAAGTCTGCAGAATGAAGTCAGAAAACCTTTTGACTTTGTTTTAAAGATTAATGTTTCAAAGTCATAAATTTACATACACTAAGATCACTAGCCCTTTAAACCATTTGGAAAAGCTCGGATGGCAACATTGCTTAGTCAGCTTCTAATTTGTTATTTCACCACATTTCTTTTAAATAGAATCAGACGTTTAAGGCAACCTCTTAAACGCACCACATCCAAGTTGCTGACTATTATATGCACATATAAACACCACAATGACGCCAAGCCTTTATACAGTTCTGGAAGGAGACTGTTTTCTGACTTCATGATAAAAGTGTTTTTATATGAAATCTGTGTACTGGTCTCAGAAAAAAGGAAAAGATTGTATTGAAACCAATTCGAAACTTGGACAAAAAACCGGGTCTTCAAAATGGACAACGGCGTAAAGCATGCCATTCAGTTGGTTACAGGTGGCTTAGGGATATAAAGAATATATTTGGGAGGGATTATCACAAATTCCTGAGCTCAAATCCATAGGAACTTTGCATGAAGAATTTATAAGATTTGTGTGAACAGTGTAGTCAACACCAAAATAATTTTGTTTCACTGATACTGACAGTATACCATATGCTCAGTGTGAATAGCTTGTTGTTTATCCTGTCAAAAGTCTTAATCGATAAGGCCAACCTCTCCCGATTGAAGGAAGACATCACTCGGTAATCTTGGATATGAAACATTTGGCTATTGGTTTGTTTTTAAGGATATTTTTACCCGTATGCTCCCTTGCCATATGCCATCTTGTGAAACTTCAGGGTTTGTGTGTGCTTGCTATCCTTTTAATCAGGCCCCCCTGTGTATTATCCCCACTGAGCAGAGTGACGAAGGTAGACCTGCCTCTGTTTGTGCCATTTAAATCCTGTGAAAGGTAGGGGGGAGATTACGAGACTCTTACCTCTTGCTCTGATCAAAAGGTTTTATTACAACACTGCTGGGTGTTACCGGGAATAGAACCTTCTAAAAATGCACAACAGACAGTAGAAAAGGGGCCGATTCTTTCAGGTAGCCATATCTTTGGAATTTTATTTGCTACTGAATAGCAATTGTTGAAATAAGAAAAGATTTTATGAGTTCCCATTAATTACATTTATAAGATGGCTATAGACACAGTGATATGAGCAATTACACTGTGAGCTTCTTGGTTTAAAATCAATCATTTGACAGATAATCTCCTTTGTTTTTATCAGCCACAAATAACATGCTGAACGCCTAACTCAGCTTGAAAAATTAGATATAGTTCAGATGAGAATTTTGCACACACATTGATCCTAGGTGAAAATACAATACTTTAATTTAGGGATTTTAATTAATTTGACTGTACTTTTATGGGTGGATAACATGACAGTTGTAGTGTTTTTGAAAACAGTTTTAAATCATTCAGGACTTTCACTAATTCAGAGTGAAATACAGACAAAGTCCCCTGTTCTGTATTTTTTTCTGATCTAAAACATACAGAACGATAAACCCTGAGGACAAGGATCACTGCTCATATCCAATCACGATCATAATTGTACATATAGGCTCAAATCAGTAATCATCAGTAATTTTTGGACAGAAGCATCAACCAACAGGCAAGGAAACCACCATATCAAGATTTCTATATTTCTGGCTTAAGATTTGACGGCTCTTTTCAGCAGGACTGGATATTGTGAATTTCAATTGGATTGTTTCCTGGTACAGACTTGATGTAGGCTTTTTATATGAATTTTCATTTGGTTTAAGTTTTGTGCCATTCCACAGGTTTAGTGTTGGCATGGTTGAGCTATGCCACCGGTTAAGACGTATGTCTGGGATAAATGTCTTGTTGAATAATCCAACTGTGTTTGAGATGAGGTTGAAGAATTGGGAGATGTCATCCTGACTTAAAATGACATCTACCTTTTGCAAGACCTTCAGCATGATGCAATCACCATCGTACGGTTTCCTGCAAACATTCACCCCAAAACTCACCAAAACTGTTTTTTTGGATAAAGCCCTTGTGAGAATTAATGTCTATGGATAAAGCTGAGTTTGTGCAAGAAAACCAAGTAATGCAAGTGGATTATACCCGACAAATAACTGCTTAAATTGCAATAAATATGAGCCCATTTGTATAAGTACCATGCTTTTAGGCTTTCTGTATTGGTAATATAAGAAAAGACTTATGTAATGGGGCACTAAGATGTTCTGGTGACGTCAGTAAGAAACTCCATCTAAGTTGTTTCGTAGTCAAAACAGCAGATGTAGCCAGAAACCATGTTGCTGAGAGTGAAATAATGAGTAAGTGTTTTTCCCCCTTCCCTTACTTGATAAACTAATCACTGTACAGTTGTACAGTTATACCAAAATTACTATAACTAATATAACCCAGCTTGTTTGTGTATTTAAAATTCTATGCAGAACTATATAAGGGATAGAAAAATGATGAATTCTCACCACTAGACGTGTGATTGGCTTTTTTGTGGCAACAGGTTGCTGTTTGCAAATAATTTGCCAGGTCACTGGATGCAGAACAAGCATTACTGTTTAAATAAGCAAGCTTCAAGCCGCCAAATGTGTTTTTGGTGAGGTTGTCGTCCCCTCCTCAGCAACGCTCCAGTTTGGTCCCTTGGGAGCAACAGAAAAGCATTTGTATCACATTTTGAGTATTTTATATATTTATGTGTATACAAGACATGGCTTACCTTTTTTGGCGCAGAGTAGTACACCCAGCCATCCTCTGCTTTGGCTGGAGAGGCTTGTGAACAGTTCTCGTCTAGTGGGAACCCCTTGACATGTGGAATACTTGATCTGCATGAGTTGTGGGAGAGACTGGTCCAGACAAAAAGGAAATGGAGAGGGAGCAGGAGCAGGCGAACATCATAAAAATCAGCTTACTTTTTAAGATTATTCCTTCATTCTTAGTTTTGTTTTCTCCAAAAGAAACTTGGTTTTTATAGGACTGTTTTTGTAAATTAGATTCAGCATCCAGAACAAGTCCAAGTTGTTTAGGTTTTGCAGGGTTTGCAGCAGAGAATGTCACAGTTTTGTTGGTACAATGATGGATCCTAATGACAGTGCAGGATTTGTTTTGGTGAGGTTATGTGTGCAGAGGTGGGAGAACATCATGTTGGTGTTAATAGGTAATAACTGTAACTGAAATAAATGGTTTCAGTGACAGTTTATTTTCCATAAAATATTCTTCCTTCTCGTAAATTCACACTCAAATGCACATGCTTCTCAATTGACAGGTTTGTCATCGTGGTAGTTGGCACCTACATGACAATGTTCCCAAACTGATCCCAACCTCAACCCTGTGACAAATTTGTGCATTAGGCTTAAAGGTTGTGCTTATACCAGAAAAAGAAACCAGTCTAATTAAGCTCTACCACTTTTTACCATCTACTGTTAACTTGGATTTACAGTTTCAGTTCAGGTTCCTGCACATTGTACGATTTAATTTACGTTTCGTAGTGGTCCGCAATCTTGTGAATTGGCCTAAACATGTTTATTTCATCTGAAAGCATGTTAAAAAAGTAGAAGTTATGAATGACATTATTCGCATAAAATATATCGTTCAGTCTCTTTTATTTACTTGGAAATGCTTTATGCCAGGGGTGTCAAACTCATTTTCTACCAGGCCACATCAAGATCATGAATGCACTCAAAGAGCCAGTTGTGGCGAAATGTATTGATAAAATTACCCATTAAACAGTTAAACTAAAAACAAATTTAGTTTGTACTTTTTAAAGTACTAATAATATTGAGCATCTTGTCACATTAATGTAACTTGGAAGTGTTCAGATAAAAACTGCTTTGATTTGGTTGATCAAATAATATTGAGGCACAGAACTGTTTTCTCACTTTTAATGATAATAAGAAAGGTTATTTCAAGACCAAAGAAAAAATGACAGTTTCGTGCAGTGTGGATGAATATCTGGCTAAGTTTATCTTGCAAAGTGATTGCATAACAAAACCATGACTGACTTGTTCTGCTTCATATAAACCCAGGCAGAATGGTGATGATGAGTTCAGGAGAGCCAAATCCAGATCTCTACAAATTAGCAGAAATATTGAGAAAATCCTCATCCTGCTAAGAAGAAGATTGTGTCCCTTTTATTTTTTTCCCCCCATTTTGCTGTTCCACTCTTTGGCTAACCACATTGTTCACATTGTGTCTCTGCCCCCCCATACTCCACTTTGCCTTCGCCTTTGCTTATTAAGCTCTTAACAGACTCTGTAATTCTCGCTTCGCGTACCTGTCGCTCAGAAGTTACAGCAGGCCAGATGCGGAGGCGGACGGCGTTTGTGTAATTTGCCAGCTCATTTCCAGCTATCGGTTTGATGAAGGCTGCCTTTCTTAAGGAAACCAGCCTCCTATTAAAGGTTTATTTAGGAGAGGCCAGAAGAATAATTAAAAAATCTGCTCTGGCCAAATAGGATGAGGAGAATCTCTGAGCCAGTGATTACAATGCTGCAAGTGTGCTTATGTGTAAGAGTCTCTCCCCTGAGGGCATAGCAACTGTTTGTAATATTGTTATAAGTGTATAAAGTGAAGCTTAATAAAGAAGTTAGCATGCCAGATTCTTGCAAATGACTTAACACATTAATTTTTTCTCTCTCTTTTCTTTAGAGTGCACCGGTGCTCTCTTCCAGTGCTTCCCCTCCCCTCAGTGTTGTGTCCCACTGTCTGTCACCTGGTAAGTACTCTCAGATTCAACTCCTGCTTCCATCGCAGATGCTCTCGCAGTGTATTTCAGTCTTTTACGTAATCATCATCTCACTGCCTGGCTTGAACTGCAAATTGCTCTCATCTTTACAAAATGGAGCAGAATTTCTTGCTAATGTTAATGAAAGGCCATGATGTAAAGTGGTTATTATAGCCAACGACGGTGGAGATCTGTGGTTGGAACGTAATGCAACGTGTCTTATATATATATAACTGATCATTTGGTATTTCTGATGGATTAGACTAGGTCAAAAGAATCTGTCATTAAATGAAAAAGTTTGAAAATAGGGTATTTAGCTTATTTAGGACTGTGTGATATTAAGAGTGTTATGGTGATAATATTGGTAAAAATTGTGATTAATTAAGCAGTATAAGCCTTTTTTCATCTTTTGTGCCTCAGTCACTCTAAGGCACTTAGGGCAATATCATTTGGTCCTGTCCAAGTAGCTAAATATTACATTAGCATGAAAAAATTGTGTGCTTATTACACTTAGAACATATTACAACAATTACTGCTCTCCATACATTGCCATATCAATATAGTACACACTGATGTATTGTTTCCTGATCCAGCCATACATCCATCATTATTTAATGTTATTTGAAGGGTTCACATTTAAAGTCTAATTACCAAAATAACTAGCTAAAAAAATCTGCAGTGACTTTATTGTTATCTTTTCTTCTTATTACATTAATGTTGGCTAAACATTATCTGACAATTCTGGAAATGTAAGATGGAGAAAGCATAAAATGTTGACTTGTATAAACAAGCTAGAACCTTGAATTAGAGTAGAGGTTTTTTAAGCCCTTTCGATCGGTGTTTTTTGCACGTACTGGACAAAACACAGGCCAGCTTTAATATTTAATTCCTGCTATCTGTTATTGCCAATTACAGAGCTTGTTTACTTGAACCATGGGAGTTGGCAGATCTGTTCTTAAGGGTGTGCGTGTGTGTGTGTGTGTGTGTGTGTGTGTGCGTGTGCGTGTGTGCGTGTGTGTGTGTGTGTGTGTGTGTGTGTCTCTTTGGACTAAGCTGTTTAATGACAGGAGTTCAGAGTGTTTTTTTAGACATGGATGTTCTCTGGTGATGCCTCAGGGAGGGTGGTGGGACTGGGTGGGTCCCCTGTGGGTCCTTGCAAGTCCCTGTGTCGCTATAAATCCACACTGGGATCCCATTCAGAGGATTAATGTGAGTGCGCGTCTTCGTGACGCCACTGCAGTCGGCCGGGCTGGAGGCTATTACTGGTCGGCAGAGTTGCTATGGAGACCAGGGGCATCGAAGAGGAGCGCAACATCTGTGGGGTGTTTTGTTTGTCAAGGCAGGTTTTCCTCCTTTCCCCTCTTGCCTTCCAGTGTTTGACCAGTACTTAAAAAGTTGCTATTTCTGACAGAAAAAAAAGACTAATTCTGTATTAGGCTCCATAAAATTCCCACATCTGTTGTCGCTAGTGCTTAGATTACTTCTAAACATTTCAATTGGATCATGGAAAACTGTATTATTTTTGGGCAATTTTTCAGCTGCCTGTGCTCAGTCGTGCTCACAGCGGACCCTCAGGGTGTAAGTCATCTGGGAGTGGGGGGGACGCTCTTCACTGGGTTCATGCTAGTGGAAAGCTCACATTCTGGGGAAGCATTTAACCCCTTGGCCTTCCCTTTTCCTCTCTCCTTGGCTTCTCTCTCTATATGGACATGTTCTATTTCCACAGCTTCTTTCTTCTGGCTGCTTATCCACAACTCTACGGGGCACAGATTTTCTGTTGATAGGTACTTATTTGGGCAATGAGCAAACTCCGTTAATTTTCAGCAGCCCCCACTCTTTCCTTCTGTTCTCCTACTGTCTGGTTCAACCAACCTTGTGGTTTTTTATTATTATTATTATTATTATTATTATTATTATTATTATTATTATCAATTTGCACATTTTTTTTGTTTTGGTTAAATTATCTGCTTGTGGAACCCCGTTATGAATATATATTCTGATTTGAAAACTAAATCTACGCCAAAAATGTCCAATGTTATCACTCTGAGGTCCATGTCTTAATTTTAATTTTCTTTGACGCATTTTTCCACATTAAAGTACTCCATGCAGCTCTCTTTAATACTTATTTGCATCTATCTATGTAATTTGTAGATAGATATCTGAACCTTCTGCAGCCTATTTTGCGTGTATATGTCTCCTAGTATTTTTTTGACCATATTTGGGTACACCTTACCTCAACCAGCCTTTTGTGGTGCATGTGTGTCACGGTAAAATGAACCCTAACCTCCTAATCCTGTCACAGCACAGTGGTGCACGGAGCAGTGCATCTCTGACCCCATGACATAACTTAGTCATTTTGAAATAATTTATGTTCACTCTGCAAGCATCTCTTCACAAATGCCAGTTACCTAACTTCATCCAAAAATTAACTCTTGTTTCACAGTCTAGTCCACATTTACTCCAAAATTAGGAAAAGCTTTAGTGCTTGTGTCCCCAAATTCCTCAAATTAGGATTTTAGATTTAAAGAAGGGAAAAACCTGAGACCGAGGAAGAGGACACAACACGGTGTATGCCAAAACTTGCTGCCACAGCAGTGAGGAACCACCGGTGTTGTTTGTGAACATAATGTTTATCAAGCTTTTTCTTTCCTCTGGTTTAACTTCTTATATGTTAGTAGAAAGCATCTGCTGATGTCCACAAATCACTTTGAAAAACAGATTCATAGCTGTTTTGTTTAAACTTTTGTCCTGCTTGTTTATTGGCCCTAGCAACATAGCTTTTATCTCTGTCTGATCCAAATAAAGAAGAGATCTGATTGTCTGATAATTTGAACTTCTCTTCCAACCAGCATTTGGAGCATTAATGTGAAGCAACTAAACTATAGACAAATGTATAACGTCGCATATTGCGTCCTTATAAGGTTTTAATAACGGGACCATATTATATTTAAGATGTTGTGAGTAAAATATGGACTAAGTGGCAAAAAATCAGACTTGCATGGTCACTGCCTGGCTTCATCATATTGTGGCGACACAGGATTATACCTCCACTGCGATTCTCTGCTGCTAACAGCTATAGATGACCAACCAATATAGCAATATAAACCAATGTGCTAGATGGAAAGATGTAATGGTACATCTTTGCTGCTCTCTAATGCGTTGTGCTAAAAGCAATAACAAAATTTTCAGATGAAATGACTTTTTATAATAACAGCAACTTAAGACTTGCTGATCATTGTGGCATGCAAGACTTTAAAGGTTTAGTAGTTTGCAAACATTTCTGGCTTTTGATGTAGAGAATATACGGTAAGTTGTCCTGTTTTCCTGCTGTGCATCGCCTAATATAGAAGTTAATTACAGCAACAGGGATTTATACATCCCACTAGGAGCTAAATATGTGTCCCCAACCTCTAATTAAGTCCCAATAGGTGAGCGGTAATGTTAGTAATTAGTATTTAGGGAGAATTTATTGTGTTCTATACTGTGCCTTGGATGAAATTTAAGATTAAGATTAAAATAAACACTCCTTGTCATTTTTGTGCTTTAGATTAGAAATAATTTCAATCAAAAATGTTTCAAGTACACATATTGAAACATTTTTAATATGTTCAAACTGAATACAAATGTTTAATTCATAGTCTGTAGTTCAGTGAACCTAATTAATAATCTCATAAAATAACTACCTTTCACAAACAGATCTTGTCTAATTTTGTAACTCCTGACTTACTTTTGTCAGAACCAACAAGGCTTTGTACAAACTTATTCCAGACTGCAGATGTGCTTATCACTCGTTAAGTAAAATGCATTTTCTATATTATGAACAACAAAGCTGTTAGAAAGGAGGGCATCATAACAGTGTAAATACTTTGCTCTCCATTAGTGCTCCTTGCTTGACATGCTTGAACCTGAGGTTGATGAACTCCTCCACATTCACAGCATGTCCCAGTCTGAAGTGTGTGATAATTTTACTTATGTTAATTTATAGTTGGATAGTGTGTGAATTTTTCCTGCCTTCATAATCTTCAGCTTATTCGTCTTACCCAAGCTTCTTGTCTCTGTTTTTTAACAAAGAATATCGGTTAGCAAGACAGTTAGCTCACAAGATGAAATAAACGGGCAGAGCATGTTTCAACATAAAGTTGTAGAGTGCTTCATTGTTATACAAAATGAATATTAGCTTTTATAAAGACATGAAACCTATTGCATTTAGATTTAATCCCTAAATCTGAATCCTTCCACATTGTTTGTGCTACCGAAGCTGTTGGTTTTTGGAGGTGTGTGTCTGGTCTTGGCACAAACAAGTTATTCTTCATATGTTTACAGTAAGGAAGTTCTTTTATCTCATTGAGTAATGAGTTTACTTCACATCTGAAATAAACATCTGTTATTGTTTAGCATTATTTGCCATTGCACAGTAGTAAACTCTTCAGCAGTGTTTTGATTTAATCTCAGATTCCTTAAAAGTTGATTTAATTAAGCTTCATTGTTTATGAAAGTCTGCAAAGTAGCCACTTATAGTTGTGGTTGACAGGAAAGTCCCCAAGAATGAGTGAAAGTATTGAGATGTGCACAGGGCACAACATTCCATTTTATTAAGAGAAGCATTTTTTGATGTTCAGACTTTTTGTCTGTACTTCTTCATCACAAAGTTTATAAACTGGTCCTCATTTTGTCTTTGTAAAAACACAGATTTTTAAGCCCTGATTTGAAAAGCTGTAAGATGTTTGATCAAGTGTAATTTTATTGTTTTACATAACTTATCCTGTCTTTGTTGGTTCTGTCCCATTTTGAAAAGTGTTAAAACAAGAAACTTGGCCTACATCTAACCCAAGTAAGTTGAAACAATTTGCAGGAAAATACTTTTCTACCTGTTAAAGAGCCTATCAACTTTGTTGGAAATGGTAGTTCCTTCATTGCTAACTTTGGAACGTGAACTAGAAACAATTTAGCCGAAAGTAATGAGAAATATTTGCCACTGACATTCATATCCA